TATATATATATATATATATATATATATATATATATATATATATATATATATATATATATATATATATATATATATATATATATATATATATATATATGCCATACATTCGGTAAAATATATAGAAAATTGTATATATATATATATATATATATATATATATATATATATATATATATATATATATATATATATATATATATATATACGGCCTGCGATGTAAGAAGAGCGTGTTTTTCAACGAACGCCATTGATTTTTGCGAATCTAAAAAAATTGTTTAAAAGCGCTATACAAATTGCTCAAATTATTATTTTAAAAACATTAATAATAACAATTTAATAATATTAATAATAACTGTTGTATTATAATAATACGGATTATAATCAGCTGGGGAAAGCGAAATAGTACCATTTTTATTAAACCTCTTTCTGGTAAATTTGTTATTTTAAATAAACAAATAATTAATTTAATTAACTTATTCCTTGAATGTTTATTTTGTTATTTGCGTTCATAATAAAATAATCACACGCATACATACACAAACACACACACACACACACACAGAGTTAATTAGTAAATTATTTGAGTGTGGTGTGTGTGCGTGCGTATATATGTCACGTCATGAGTTTTATTTATATTTTGACATCCCCTGGTAAGAAATTTAGCGCTACATAATTGAAGGTGATGAAGTGTGGAGTTTTTGGATACATTATTTATTAGTGTAGGGTTGTGTTTTTTGTTGTTGTTGTTAGTGTTTATTTATGTTGTTTTGTTGTTATTGTGGTTTTGTTCCTGTTGTTGTTGTTTATAATGTTGTTGTTGTAGTTATTAATAATGCAGCTGATTCAGCTGGTGTTGATTGTGTTGTTGTAAAAGTAGTAGTAGTAGCAGCAATAGAAATAGTAGTAGCAGTACAAGTAGTAGTAGCAGTACAAGTAGTAGTAGTAGCAGCAGCAGTAGTAGTAGTAGTAGTAGTAGTAGTGGAAGTAGTAGTAACAGTAGTATTTTGTCTGAGATTAATAGAAATCCTATTAACATTGTTATCAGCGAAGAAGCAATGATTGTAATAAAAATATAATTAGAAATTTGATTGCTTTGTCGCAGATATTCTGTAGTAACAGTAGTAGTGGTAGCAACGGCATCAACGTCAGTAGTAGTAGAAGTAGTAGCTGAAGCAGTAATAGAAGCATAAGTAGTAGTAGTAGCAGTAGTAACTTCAGTAGCAGAACTGAAGACAATAGTGGCTTTTGTATTAGTAGTATTGTGGTGGTGTTGGTATTATTTTTTTTTATCAGTTGTTGTTATCTTTATTGTTTTTTGTTGGTTAAAGCAGTTTCCCTATTAAGTTTTCAGCCATATTTGGCTCTTTATAAAATCTCTTTTATTGCCAACACGGGCAAAAATAATAGCCACATAGAACTGCTCTTTGTTGCACTTTATTGCTAGTAGCAGCAATCATTATTATTGTTATTGTTGACAACACTATCATTATTATTATAATTTATTATTATTATTTTAGTATTAGTAGTAATGGTAGTAGCAGCAGCAATAGTAGAAGTAGTAGTAGTAGTAATGTATATTATAACTGAATCTAAAAAATTCAAATAAATGTATCAATAAGCCTGAAATGACAAATTATTATTTGACATGTTGAACTAACAAAACAAAATTGTTTGGTAAAATTTATTACAGTCACGAAGGCTTAAGTTGCACATTGTATTGTAATGTGTGCAAGCATAAATATTTGATGTTACACACACTCACACAAGCACATACGCACGTACACACACACACGTACGCACACACTCGCACACACAGACAAAAAAGAGAGAAGAATTACTGAAGTAATAGTAAATAGATATCGAAAAATAGTGATGTCCGATTCGGAGAACCGAGTAACGCTAAACGTCGGCGGTATCCGACACGAGACTTACAAAGCCACGTTGAAAAAAATACCGGCTACTCGACTGTCTCGACTTACCGACGCCCTGGCCAATTACGATCCATTACTGAATGAATATTTCTTCGATAGGTGTGCTACTTTTTATAATTAATCTGATCATGAAAATAATAATATTAAAAATAAATAAGAGTAGTAGTAGTAGTAGTTGTAGCAGTAGTATTAGTAGTTCCTTAGTAGTACTTAGTAGTAGTAGTAGTTTGTAGTAGTTAAAAGTAGTAGTATTAGCAACAACAACATCATCGACCATTATTATAATTGTAATAATACAAATAACACGAAAAATAATAATAAAAGAAACATTTTTTATAAATTTATAACCTAAATCCACTTTTAGACATCCGGGGGTGTTTGCACAGATCCTGAACTACTACAGGACAGGGAAACTTCATTATCCCACAGACGTTTGTGGGCCACTTTTGAAGAGGAACTGGATTTCTGGGGACTGGACGCCAATCAAGTTTGTGTTGTTGATATTATTGTTGTTATTATTATTATTAATGTCGTTTTTGTTATTGATGTTGTTATTGTTATTGTTGTTGTTATATTTACAAATGTCTATGTGTGCATTTGTGTGTCTGTTTTTATTCAAAATTACTTTTGAAATAATTTTTTTTTTAAATTTAAAAATCGCAAAAAATTTCAAAAAGTAAAACTGTTATAACACAAACGACGACGACGACAACAACATCAACAATAACATCAACAACAAATAACAATAGAAACAAAAAGAAACAACAAAAACAGTAAAAACAACGACTTTCTTCTACAATATATAGTTGTTAATATCGTGCCTGTATATAATAGACCACAATCAAACAATTAAATTAAATCACAATGACATCAAAAAAAGACAACAACAACATTACTACAACTACTACAACTATTACCTCTGCTACTACTACTACTATTAGTACCACTACTACCAACACAACTACTACTACTTCTACTACTACTACTATCGGTTTTTCGGTTTTTTCTTCTTCTCTCAACCAACCGACGAATTTAGGTAGAACCTTGTTGTTGGATGACGTACACAACCCACCGAGATACACAGGAAACTCTTCAAACTCTGGACCGACTCGACCTCGATACCGACAAACCGACCGAGGAGGAACTACTTAAAAAGTATGGCGTCGACGAGGAGAAACAATTCAAGCATATCGGTATCCATGCCGATCTTTGGATGAGAGTGAAACCGAAAGTATGGGCCATGTTTGATGAGCCCTATTCATCCACACCCGCCAAAGTGAGTGAGTGAGTGAGTGAGTGAGTGAGAAAATGAACGAGTGAGTTAACGATTGATTGGTTGGTTGATTGATTGAGTGAATGAGTGAATGAGTGAATGAGTGAGTAAGTGATAGATTGAGTTAGTGTTTATTTCAATGAGCGCTTATCAATTCGGTTCTTAAGCTAAAACATACTCTCTCTCTCACTTTCACTCTCCATCTCTATTTTTCATTTTTTTTAGAATTTGTATCTCACTTACTTTTTATCTCTCTTTCTCCTCCTTGTTCTTCCTCTTTCATAATTTATTCCTTTCTGATTCAAAATTTGAACGTTCATTTTGCATTTTCACTCTTGTGTGCTATAAGTCGATCTCTTTTTCTCTTTCCCCCTCTCTCTTTCTATCTGTTTTTCACTTTTTTCTTTTTTTACTCTCTCTTTTCTTTCTCCCTCCCTCCCTCTCTTTTTCTCTCTCTTTCTCTATCATTGATTATCATAATCATCGTCATAATCATCGTCATCATCTTCGTCAATTTTACTTGGCCAATTTACTACGAAACCGCCGCGAAAACCATGGAAACGACATCATTATCCTATAATAAATTTAATGGCGATGACATTCTTGATAATGATGGTGGTGGTAATGAAGATGAGGATGGTGGTGGTGGTGATGATGATGGTAATGACGATGGTGGTGATGATGATGACGAACGTCCTACACAACCAGATGGTTGCAGCCACTTCAATTTTTTTCATCGTCATATCAATTCTCTCCTTTTGCCTGAAAACCCACTGTTTCATGAGAGTTAGGACTGTCAATCATCAATTTAACTCCTCCCACAACATGATATATTCGCATGTTAATGAGTCGACAACCGACCAATCAGAGGAAGGGATCTATCGGTCGACCAATCAGACGCTTGATGACGAAATGTCAAATTTAAGAGAAATCGATTCGTACTTGAATAAAAAATTTAATCGTCGTTATAGATATTTGAAAAATTATGAAAATGTAAGCAGTCAAAACAACAACTATAACAACAACAACAACAGCAACAACAACATCAACATCAACAGTAGCAACAATAAAAACAACAACAAAAATATTAGTGACAGCAAAAACAACAGCACCAGCAGTGATAACGAAAACAACAACAGCAAAGATAAAATACAGCGCAACAACAGCAAAGATAAAACAGAAAATTACGTCTATTTAAACGTAGACGAAGGTGAAATAAATTATGAAGCGCTCAACAATGACACAACTTTAATTGCCTCAACAAATTTTCACAACACGGCTACAGCAAGTACTAACTTTTTCTCGACAAACCAAAAAATTATAACATCAACAACTACTGCTACAACTGCTATTACTACTGTTACTAATACTATTACTGCTGCTGCTACAACTACTGCTGCTGCTGCTACAACTACTGCTGCTGCTGCTGTGACTACCATTACCACAATTACAATAATAACAACAGTATCAACACCGATTATATCATTAACTGTTACAAGCAAAACACCGCAACTAACAACATTTGTTTTGAACACTTCAAAAGCATTCAAAACAACAACATCAACAACATTATTAACAACAACAACAGCAACAACGACAACAACAACACCAACAACAACAGCAACAACGACCAGTTTATCAACAACGTCATCACTGACAACAACAACAACAATGTCGCAAGAGCAGATAATAATAACTACCGAATCAATCACAACAAAAGCAATAACAATATTAACAAATACAACAACAACAACATGAA